TTACAACTATTATGCACATTTCCTCAAACGTTTCGGCTCGAAAGCCCCTCAAAAGATCTGGCGACATGCAGTGGGCATTGTCCATTGTCCTTGTTAAATCACCACAGTCGCAATTATAATTAAGGGCACAAAATGGCAAAACAATGGTGGCAGCAAAAACCCTTTGGCAGCACACCCTCATCGATATACTCACCCTTGTGCATCCGCACGGCAAAATAATAATAATATCACATAATAAACTATTAACTCGACAAATACAGCCAAGGGAAAGGGCCCGAATGCATGTGTAAACAAATTGCAATTGTTTTATCAAGCATGCTTTTGTGCTTTTCCATGACAACAGAAGGGGAAAATAAAGTTTTGCGGGCGAATCGAAGGCAAACGAATGCTCTATTTACAAATTGAGTTAAGAATAATTTAAAAAACATTCAGATGAATGGTTCTTCTTGGTAACTCAAATTATTATCAACTTAGTGTAATATAGTTAATTAATTCTTTAAGTATTTATATTTCAGGTACGTGGTTTTGGAAATCATGCTTATTAGTTTGTATCCCACTTGTTCCCGGTTGCACTGGCTTAATCCAAAACCGATTAGATTTAACTAACAAGTGAGATCGGATTACACGCCAATGGCAAACCCTTCAACGTTATCGCAACAGGCCACATTCGTTAGCGCATTAAACAATAACGAGTGGCAAATGGGAATTTGTGTAAAATTGTTACAGCAAGCGCAGCATATTATGGAGAGCATTGATTTTGCCATAGGTATTTACAGTCAACATATATACACAGCTAAGGTATTTCGCAACCCATATATTGAGATGTATGTGGGCCCTGCTGATGCGACTGCTGAATGCATTAGCAATTTCTATGGCCCGAATGGAAGACTCCGGGGGAAGATGGAAGACCGGGTGCAACAGTTCAAAGTGTTGACAATCCATGCGTGCATTCTGAGTGTGTGTGTGTATGGGTGGGGGGCTTTGTAAAACATCCAACTAAAACCCAACCCAGCACCACCCACTTCTTACCTTCTGGCAGCTTGAAATGATAAATATGCAATCGAGGCAAAGGTGAACAATTTTTATATGCATTTCCCCAGCACCATCTACCCTTGGCCTCGTCTGTCAGGCGTTTTCCTTGGAAATTTTATGCAAAAACAATTTATAACGGGGCACCGGAAACCAGGATCTAAGACAGGGCATAAAAGTATTGTTTCCTATGGTTGCAGCTTCTGTTCCTGCCGCAGCTGCACTTATCGCCTTATACGATGCCATTTTGTGGCCCACAAAGAAGGGAAACAGAACTGATCTACATCGGGAACAATCCACGAATTATAGTTTAAAAATAAAATCACATAAGCTTAAAATAAACGAATATTTTAATACATTACATTTACCAAATTATAAAAATGTTTACTAATTCTTTTTGAATTTCTCTTTCTGTAACTCAATTGGAGTGTATTTAAGTATTTGAGTTTTTAGTTTGGCACAAGTTTTTTTTCTTGTGCAGTGAAGGAGAAGAGATGCTATTGCATTTGTATATGCTTAAATTATTACATTTCGCATTTTGCTCTATGCCTTTATTGTCGAAGATTGATTGCGTTTGCCACGTGTTTGAAAGGATACGACCTTTGGGAAGCAATTTCACTTGGCTCACATGACAGCAGGAGCAATTTTAGCTCCCAACAGCCGCAGTTTTACCTAAACCTTTTCATTGAGGAGCTTCGAATCCATCTTATGATTACCGAGGCAAAAAAGGGTGAGAGCTGTGGAATTTGTGTTTACTATCCCAATTATGTAATTAATGTAATGGAAATGCAAATCTTAATGCATGGCTAAGCAATTATACTGGCACATTTTTTGCTCAAATACGCTTAATGGATAAGCTAAGTGCAACATTAAATGCTTTGATTGCATTTAATACACAAGCACGCGGAGCAAGTCATATTTAATTGAATGCATCATTTTACATACAAAGAGGTCTTACACAATATCAATTGCAATTCAAAAAAAGTTGTTTGAAAGGTTCTTTTATGTAGAAATTGATTACATATCAAAAAAGAGTATTTTTTTATCTGAAATTTTGCCATTTTTTTAAGTCTTCTTTTCATATTGAAAATCTTTTAAAGGTTAAAAAAAGAGTAGGTATAAACATAATTTTTTTTCGATTTTCAAAGAGCCCCATGATTTTTTTCCGGAGGATAAAATATTATAAATTCATATTTTAAAGAGCTCACACCAAAGTTAGTAATTTGATCCCCTCCGGCAAGCCACTTGATCCGAGGTTGTTTTCCAGAGAAATCCGCTGGGAGCCTCATCTAGCAAAGTCATAAGCTTTCCTGAGCTCTCCAGCAGCACGTTCAATAAAACGGTTAAACAAGGAAAAACAAAACTTTCACACGAGCAAACAATTTTTGAGCGGGGATCCTGGCTGAAAGGAGACTTTTGCGGAGAAAACTTGACGGCTTTGCAGGCCGTTAAGAGGAAAGCTGCATTCTGGACAAAGCTGTATGTCCTGCGTGTGTATGGTGTGTACACTTGGCATTAACATAATTCATATTTTGTATGTATTTGCATAATAATAAAGCTGCTGATGTGCCAGAATCAGGAGCAGAATCCGCACAGAAGCGTCTTTTCTCCTCTGGCCTTTTGGCTGCCACGTCCAGTGAGTCCCCATCCTCCGGGGTCCTTCCACACACCCCACCTCCATCTCCACATCCGCCACCCCCGCTCCCCACTTCACCGCCCCCCACTTCACCGCCCCCCACTTCACCGTCCCTCCACACTGCTGTTGACAAATGGAACACAATCGGCCACACCCACCTCACAGCATCCCCTTCCCATCAAAATAGAAACAGCTAGTGTTGGCAATTCTCCTAAACATTTAGCAAACAATACAATATGTTGACTGTTTTTTCTATGTGGGACTTAATAATACATCTTCATAAATAGATAAGAAAAACATATTAAATGAAACCTAATTTTTTTTCGATTTAAATTCATTTTTCTAAGCCCTGATAAACAAAAAACTTTTATTTGCTTTTGTAAACATAATTTTTGAAGCCAAAACAGAGTTATAATCAAAAAACTCAAAAAATATGTTACTTTTGGAAAAAAAAATCATAAAATGTAGAAGGATGCTTGAAACAACTTTGTTTTTTGAGAGGGGTCATTAAAGAACTATCCGCTCTGGATGGGAAAAAGTACAAATCGGCATCCCCAGCAGCCGCAGAGATTTATACAAGAAAAGAAACAGACTCATAAGCTTTTCACTAAGAAGAGGGTTGTGGATGGGGATTTGGTTAGTGGGGGCGGTGGGAGTGGCTCTCCGCCCGCATAAATGCATGAATACTTATGGATAGTTCGCAGCGCAGCGCAGCGCATCGCAAACAACTGTTGTTGGACTTTCTGGGGGCGTTTGCAGGCGGAATTGTCATGTTTCTCGCTTGTATTGCACTGACATCTGGGGGACATAATTCGTTGACACACACACACGATGCCAAAAACAACATTTATTTGTGAGCTCGTGTCCTTATATATCAACTCGTAGCGGACTTTGCTGGTTGGGTTTCTTTTTTTTCGTTTTCCCTTTGTTGAAATTGCACCAAATGCGTTTAACACAAAAAACAACTTCAAAGAGAAACTGCTAAGAACCTGAAACATATGTTAGAGCGTATTAATCGGTTTTTAGCTTTGTCTATGCCCCTAACAAGTACAGCACAATTCATTCATACTATTTTATTTGAGTTATTTACAAGTTAGTTATTTCTTGAGAGTACATATATTTTTATTTGACCTGTTAATCCAACTGAACATGTAAGTTGTGTATTTAAAGCCCAGTTATGCAACCACCAGGAAAAGATCTAAAGGAAAAACAAGCAATTAAGCACACACTTCGAACACAGGCGCAATAATTTATTAATTTTCCCACGGGTATTCAGCCACTTGCGATTTCGCTTCGTACTGTTTGCACGTATCTCGGGCGGCTGGGAGATCCCGATTCCCATGCTCGGCGAAGCGTTAAAATGCCACCATTAAAAATCAATGCTTAAAGATTTATGGGCTTGACAAAGTGTTAATTACCAGGTGAGAGCAAGGTTAATGCGAAGGGCGAGGCAGAAGTGGAGCCCGAAAAATCAAGGTCCCTTCACAACAACATGTACACAAAGATAATAACCAATAAGCCGAAAAGCTACCAACTTGACCTATTGACTTTAACCTCTTGTTTACCTGATTCAACCCTTTCTGACCACCTTTTATCTATTTTCAGAACCATGGATAATAAAGTTCATAATTGCTAAAGTTGTCTATTTTTAAACGAACGGCTTTTAATATAAATAAATAATTCAGTATTTAATAGATTCAGCATGAATTCATAATTAATTACTTAGTTTGTTATAAGCGCAAAGCAAAAATATAAAAGAGTGTTAAAATATTAAAAAAAACACTTTAAAAAAAATCACTTAATGGTCCTACTCTTCTGAATACAAAATAAATCTTATTTTTGCAGCTTGATACCCAAAAGTCGTGACTTAAAGCCTTTTAAAGGTCTTTAAGCGAATCCCTTTATCTACTTTAAACAACAGCCTCGGGATGGAAATAAAAACCTAAAAATATAGCACAGAATAGAGGTTGTTATCCCACTCTACACAGTCAATCCCGAATTAAAATAGAATTCGCGGCCCAGTCGAAAAAAGCCGCCAAAAACTTTACTTTTAATCAGACCAAAACAAAACGAGCGAAAATAAAAGCAAACAAAATAACAGGGAAACAGGCGTCAGGATGCCAGGACACCGAAGAACAAAAAAAAATAACTATAGAGAATGAGAAGCCGAAAAGCAACAGAAAATGGGGAAAGACGAGCTCTCATAATTCCACGGCCAAAAGGAAAATTCAACGGCAGCGGCGAGGAGTGAAATAGGAAAATCAACAACCGAGAACGTAAAAAGATGCCAGGCAGCAGTTTTTCGTTACTTTTACTGTCGGCTTTTTTGTTTGTTTCTATTTTCATATACATACTCGTATATATTTTTTCTCTATTTTTTGTAGTTCACCCACATAAGCTGCGAGGGACACGTGAGGTTTCTCAGCGACAAAAATACGAAATTTGTGTGAGGAAGCACACAGTTTACACACATACACACGCATGCAGACTGTGTGCGTGTGAAGGACGCACGAATCGCCTTAAATATGCTTCAACTGCTAAAGAAGCCATAAAGCAACAGCCATCCGACATCAGGCTGCGTCCAACAAAATTAACCCAAACTATGAAGTTCTATAGCCTCTTTATACCGAAAACTTATCGTCTTAAGCCTATTTTAGTTTCCTTGCCTTATAATCGCATCTTAGTGAGTGGACCTTTGGTGAAGTGGCATTCAGGGTCATCGGTTAGGGCACCTGCACGGTCACCTGGACAGGAAATTAGAGGACCTCTTCCAAACGCCGAGTGTCTTCCTCCAGCAGCAGGTGCATAAAAGGCTCCCTATTCCACAGAGAAAATATTGCAGAATCCATGGAAAGGATTCCATATTGAAGAAGGCTTCTAGAGCAGCACTAGGATTGTTTGCAAGCCACCGAAAGAACTGCGAATGTTCTGAATGTTTTGTATTTATATTTAATTATACCTTTTTCAGGAGTAGGTCCCGACCATTTGTATAATACCAACCGTATTATATCACAGGGGAACTGGTTTTTTTATTGCCCTTCATTTAATGTAAGGTTTGTTTTAAATATTTGAATTGTTTTTTACTTTACTCTAACGAAAGGGTTAATCACGTTTTACCATGTTGTTGTCATTTTTACCAGGTTAATCTAAAGGACACACAAAGCGCCTCAAATATGCTTAAACTACTAAAGAAGCCATAAAGCAACAGCCAACCGTCAAACAGGCCACCACAGGAAAAGCCTGCGACGCACCACCGCCGCCACTTCATCGCTCAGTTTTCATCGGACCTAGAATGGGAACACATTATCCTGGATACTCCGAGCCGGGTTCAAACCTATGCCTGTTGGCACAAACTTGTTTGAGTTGCAGGGGAAATTTAGGTGGTACAACATGGATGTTAAAATGTCGGTTTTAAGGGATGAAACTACGGGGAAATGATTTTCACCGGTATATTTCGGTTAATTTGAACATTTTTCTAAATGTTTGGATATTTGCAATAAAGATATGGTATCCTGTAAAAACCTTTCCCAATTGTTAGCACTTATTTTTTCTGATATTATGCTAGACAAAAACTGTACTAAAATGAACTATCTTTATTTAGTAACCACAAAAATTAGAGGAAATAGATACCCGACCTTTGCAAAACCAATTACACAACAAATATCAACCAATTATTATAAGCATTTTTTAAAATGGGATAAACGTTTAAAGCCCCGCCCTAAATCTGTTATCTGTTATTATGCGATTTGTGAGTTTTTTAATCACTCTAAATAAATCATCGGCATAAATAATTTAGTTTTAGTTACTTTTTACTATTTGGTTATAATTCTAGCCTATCAGTTATCTACAAAATATCTACTTCTACATTTACTTCGCAAGAATATTGTTTTACACAAACATTCGGTGAATTGGCCAAGGACTTTATGGAATGTGGAGGAAATGTTTTCTTCGTTTCATATCAGTTAGCATTTATACTGGGTTTGTTGAAATGTCCCTTTTTTAACTTTAACACGGTAATTGTAAAAACACGATGTTTTGAAAGGTAATAGTGGCGACGTCCTGCGAGATTTTTAAGGACGACAACTTCTGAAACTCCAAGGGAAATTCCCTTTTTATAGAAGTTAGGAGGCCAATCGTGCTATAATTCTACTCTTGCGAGAGCAAAAAAAAAGCGTTTTTGTTTTTCCCCGAAATATCTCGATTCAATAAAAACGGTAATTATGGGATGGCGAAGTTAGGCAGGAACATTGTTTTACACAAACATTCGGTGAACCGACCAAGGACTTTATGGAAAGTGGAGGAAATGTTTTCTTCGTTTTATATCAGTTAGCATTTGTACTGGGTTCGTTGCAATGTCACGTTTTTTTCGCTTTAACACGGTAATGGTAAAAACACGATGTTTTGAAAGGTATTAGTGGCGACGTCCTGCGAGATTCTGAAATTCCAAGGAAAATTCCCTTTTATAGAAGTTAGGAGGCGCAATCTTGCTATAATTCTACTTTTGCGAGAGCAGAAAAAACCGTTTTTGTTTTCCCCCGAATCTCGTTTCAATAAAAAACGGTATATATGGGATGGCGAAGTTACTCGTAGAGAAAAAGATTGCACCCATTTGTAGAAAAGTAGTTGAAGGCAATTGGCGAAAATGAATCCATTTTATGTAAAGTAAAATTCTTAGAGTGCAAAATGTAAGCCCGGCAAGTTCTAATGGACCAACTTGGACGGTTCACTATACTGTGCTGCTGGGTTACTCAACGCCGCCAGAGGTCCCAGCCAGGAAAGCCAATCTCCAAAAAGAAAAAGTTGGTACGGCAGCCAATAGTTGCGATGTAATTCAAAGCAGGCTAATATAATAAAGGCCTGCCCAAAATCTTAGGGCCTCCATCGCCGAGTTAGGACGAATTCACACCAAACCTGCCCGAAGCCATTTGCGTATGCCCATTTTAGTAGGTTTCCGAAAAGCACAGATAATGGCTCAAATTCCCACATTATCAAATGCAATGCGAATGAGTAGGCTGTGCATGAGAATGATAATGCCATAAGTTTATAATCCAGAATCTTCATACATAGGTACATCACTTACAAATAACTGCGGTGACAAGACCAGATATAGAAATAATATTATAAAGAACTCATAAAATAGAGTTCATCTTCCAATTTGCATCTTTTTGTACAAAGGCTAAGTCGGCCGCTTATGACTTTACCTGATATATTTAGCTCTACCTGATTTTGTTAGGGGATCAAGACCAGCTGGCTCAACTTTAACCTTTACCTGGTAAGTAAAGTCCTATTCCAATTTTGACCTGACCTTTGCTTTAAAACTTCTATATAAAATCGCCTTCCAAACCACCTTGTATCATTAAGTAATTGAATATGGCACGGCGAACACAATCGCGATATATCTTCGAGGTGGTTGAAAATTCGCGAGTTTTTCGCCATTACTTTTTTGTGAATGGATCAAGGAGAGCGGATTGTACCACTTGTGAATCTCGAGTGCCAGCCAGCGAACCGTACAGTCATCACTGGCGTAACGATGTCAAAAACAACAGAAGCCACTACATTAAGATGGGTTCTGAGGAAAAACAGCTCCTTAAAGCGATCGAGGATCAGGCCGTCGAAGAGTTTATATTATGCGACGGGAGTATCACAGCCAGGACGAACGACTTTCTTTTGGATGCAGGAATGGACGCAGTTCCCAAGCTGCTAAGATTCCTAAGTTTCGGCACAGAAAAGTTGGAGGCTACTGTGGGATTTTATGTGGATGTGAAAAAAGAGCGCATGTACTACGAAAGCAGTCCCTTGAGTATCGAAAACCACCTGGATATCGGCGAAGCAGTTGATATGATATTCTCGATGCTGCTGGAGAAGATAAGTAACTATGTGCTGCTCCACCAAAGGGTTCCATTGGAGGCGTGTGTTATTAGAAGGATGAAGGTGACTGTTAAGAGATTTTGCCCTTCTAAGGGCAGTTCCCTCTCTATCTCCAAACTTCCTTTGCAATATAGGGTGAAGAATGCTGTTGAATGCATTGGAAGCAATAATAACAAATCCTCCCCCGATGTGGGCAAACTGGCAGAGACATACTTGAGACAAGAGGACCAAGGACGACTTTTTCCAGCGAGTCTTAAAATCAACCTGTACAGCTTTCGGGTTTGCAGTACCTCCAAGGAGTTATACGCTGTGCCCTATTTACTACGCGGAGAGGATGTCGAAACTACGCCCACTTTCATTATTCAAAGGAACGTGGCTGGGGAATTCCAAGGACTGACCGAAATCCGCAACATTAGAAAGTTCTTGCGAACGGATAGCCAGGATCGGGTTGTCGAATGTCGTCAATGCCAGTCGCATTTTGTGGACCGAGTGCACTTTGCCCTCCACAAACAGATCGCCTGTGGTCGGAATTATATGGTGTGGCAAATGGACAAAGACGCCATCGAGTTGCACGAAAACTGTTTGCCTCTGCCTGAGGAATATTTTAAATACAAATGGATTGGTTTGGCCAGCAAGCGAAGCTAACCATTAATCATAAGGAATTATATATTATTATACCATTTTTGGACCTGATAAATTTTTATAAAATCTACAGTAAGTAAAGCTAACACTCGAAATTTCTATACACTTTAAACTTAGTTTCTGTTTTCTATTTTCCAATACAGTTTAGAAATTGTCTTTATGGTATAAAGCTTATTTTCCTTAGTGTTACAAATTCTTTCCTCACAAAAATAAACAGTCAAAATATGTAAATTGATTATAAATAGGTTTTTAAAAATATGCTCTTTTAATTCTTTATCTTAAAAAAATCAATAGTTTTTAAAATCAGCATAAAAATAATAATATCAATAACAATGATGGCCTTCATGGTCGAATAGGAAAATTAAAAATTTGGGGACGTTGGGATGTCGAAGTAAAACAATGTGGTGGAGGTACAGTACTCTCCGTAGGTCCTGTTCCTGGATCAAAGTGATGAGAGCGGGGGGAGTCGTCGTTCGTGGGTGTCCACCCTCCAGCCGAGTGGGGCGACGTCCCACTGGAACTCATCCAGTACCTGTCCGGCGTCTGGAATGGCCGTCTCATCCACTTCCGGGGTATTGTGCGGATTAGCACGTTGCAACGTGTTCTCTGAAAGATCCTGGCTGGCCTTCCGTCCTGGTGAGTTCGGGGTGGCGTGGGTCCTCGGCTGATCCTAGTGATCCTTGGGAAGTGTCTGGTATACCCGAGAAACAACCAGTTTCTGATGTGGGTGTCGCCTTTGAATCTGAGGCTGGTTCTACCCTCCGAGCGGTAAGGGGACCTAGCTGAAGACATACTTTCCCGAAGTCCACAGTTCCACGGATGCCGCAGAGAAAGTCAACGCCGAGAATCACACAATCTAGTATCGTGGGCAGAACAAAAAGAGCCAGACAGATTGGTTGTTCAGACCAACTTGCGCCAGCAGAGCCTTGGGGACTTCTTTCTGGCACTCCCAGTCAAAGGTTCCTATTTCCCCTCAGCAGCAATACATCGAGTATTTCGCCCATTGCATCATCAGACGCAGTTCGTCGACGTAGACTTTAAAGGGCTCGCCGGCTCGTTCGTATCTTGTCCTGATCGCGTCCTGCAGGCTGTGGTAGTGCCGTGGAGGCAAGAAAAACTCTAACAAATCCCGTCTGAAAGTTTCCCAGGGAACGGCGTGCATTTGGTGGGCTCGGTACCAACCTCCGGCGCAGCCCGAGAGCAGTCCTGCGATAGCCCGTGGTATCTCGCTAGTACCTACGTTGTATGCCGTGTCGACGTCCTCGATGTGATCCGTCGAAGGGTTTTCAACCCTGATGCGTGCGAATATTTCAACTTATTTGACTTCGTTTTTTTAAATTTAAAGGAAAAATATAACGCCTTCGTGACTTAGTTTAAAAACACAATATCAATCATAATGATGGCCTTTATTGTCGAGGTGGAAAAATAAAAATGTGGGGTTTGGGTTCTACAAATCCTCACAATTTTTTATATTCAAAAACAATTTAATTTAAAATACTAGTACCACCTTGCTCATATATTCGTTAGCGGGCAACATTTTAAATATTGCAACATTTTTGAAAACCATTTTTGGAATATTTTGGGCGCCTGAACGCTCTGGTCACACTAGTATGACAAGATTTGTTTACAAGCAACAAACTACGAAATACGATGAACCCGCTAGACAAAATACACGCTCTAGATGAGATCGAAAAAGAGATCATCCTGTGCATGCAGAGTGCAGGTAAGTAAGGAAAGTACTCCACCGAAACAAGCCAACTTATACCTTACTGGCAGGACAAGCACTGCAGGAGTTGGGCAAGGAAAAGTCTTCGCAGAAAAATGCCGAAACTCAATCGCAGCAGTTTTTAAAGAGCCTGTCCAGCGTGGAATCGAAGCTATCTGAGCAAATCAACTATTTGACGCAGGTGTCTACGGGTCAGCCGCACGAGGGATCCGGCTATGCGTCCGCCAAGGTGCTTCAAATGGCATGGCACCGCATACAGCACGCAAGATCCCGAGTTCGCGAGTTGGAGGAGACCAAGGCCAAACACTCACACGCCGCTCGTCAGCAATTAAAGCGCCAGCAGGAACACGCTGCCGCTCAGCAACAGCAACAACAACAGCAGCAGCAACAACAGCTGCAGCAAGCGGCACAGCAGCAGCAACAGTCGGGAGGAGGGACCGCCGGTGGGGGAGATCATTCCATGGGCGGCGACTCCTCCATGTCCACCAACTAATATGGGGATATTTTTAGGGATAGCGATTTCAAATTTTTTTAAAATAAATAACATTGCAAAAAGTCTACCAAACAATTGTAAATTAATCAAGTTTAGGTTATTAAATTTCATATATAAGCCTGCCCATAAAACACAAGCTACACTTCCATATGTATGTGTCTCAAAAAAGACTTTTAAACAAACAACTACTTTTACTTTATTGTGTATCTTAGTAACTAAATTGAATCATACATGTGGAGGTACATCTATTATTTTATCACAATTGGAATCCAACTTTTCATTATTTTTATCACAAGCCGAAACCGCTTTTTCTTCCCTACTTTGCCCAATGCCAAAGAAATTCTTTTCGCAAACATGGCGCACGCACTGTAGCAGGACATTTCTTTCATGCCGTATATCCGATTCTAGAAGTTTTGATAGCATGGTGTTCTGTTGCGTTTGCTGGCGTGATCTCTTGTAGTTTAATCCGTACACTCGCTTTGGAGCTACTCTTTTGGGAGCAGTTTGGGGCTTGCTTTCTTTTGGTACCTCCTTAGGCGGACTTGACTCTCTAATGGTTTCAGTGACTCGCTGGAAGGGCACTTCATCCGGTGCTTCATCGGAGGAGTAATGTACTTCTTTTTTAGCAACTGGTCTTAAGTTGGAGTCAGTAGTTTCATTAACATAGTCTTCCCTAGGCACTATATCGGAGGAGTTAACGTTTTCAATAGAAAATGTTTGGCTTTCGCTGGTTTGCGAATCCTCATTGAATATAGGCTTATTTTGTGGCACTTGATATGTCTCAGAAACGGAATGTTTTTCCACGATGGACGTAGGCATTTCATCCTTTTCTTTGGGTTCAGATTCGGTTTTCACTTGCATATCTTCCTGATCTTGGTTCTCAATCTCGGTTTTCACTTGCATATCTTCCTGATCTTGGTTCTCAATCTCCGTTTCACTCTCATCTTCACTATCTGAACCATACATCCCAAGCAGGCCGAACAAAGCATTATCCTGTTTTTTTACTTTTGCCTTGAAGTGATGGTAATCCTTCATCTGTCCTGTTCCGCCAAACTTGGCATTTTCTGAAGAACGGAGATTCGCCTTTTCACTGTTTGGATGAACTTTGATTTCAGCTGTAGCAGACGGAGTTGAGTTTGCTTCATTGTTTATCGCTGCATCGGTTTCTTTGTCCGTACTTTTCTCCACATTTTTCTTTTCAAAAACCTTGCATTTGGCTCCTCTTCTTTTTTTATTTTTGGGCTCGATGCGATCCTTCTGATCCGCTTTTGGTCGCGTTCTCTGGCGATCTTCGCGGTTTCCGAACCGGGATTTCGAGGCCTCCAGACGCTCCCCGCGCTTTATTCTTTGTTCCTTGGCTAATTTGGCCAGCTCAACGTTTGCCGCAGTGGGAAATCTAAGGTATATATGGATTATTATAAAGAATATAAGTATTTAGGTATGAAATCCACCGACCTTTTTCTCCTTTCCGACTTCCAAGCGGCCAGTTCTTCCTCCGTCCATACTTTCTTTACTTTTTTGTAGGCCCCTGTGATGTGATTGCCTTCTATGTGCCTTTCCAGTATGTTGTGCAGGGCAGCAAAATCGCAGTTATCTGCGGGACAGGACTCGTGTTGCTCCAGGTGGCGTTTCATGTCCTGGGAATTCGATAACTCCATGGAGCACGTGTGGCAGAACTCCGATCGTGGAGGTGAGTTGTAAATTGGCGGGGTTTCTGGTACACTGGCACAGCTATTTTGCGATTTTATCTGGGGATAATTTATGGGATACGTAATTAAGATTAAAGAACATGCATATATATATCTGTGGACTCACTTGCTCCTGGATAAGATATTTTGGGGGCACCGTTGGTCCTCGTGCGCCGTACATGGGGGGCGGTTGTTTTGCCCTGGGCAAAAGGGTCATCCCACTGGGGGTCAGGTAGAGGTGAGAGGCCTTGTTAGCTCCATTGGGCTTATCGAATTTTGGAGACGGCAATACGAATTTTGGCTGAACCTTTTCTTCCATTTCGTCGGCTTAATACGTTAAAAACAATGTGCGCGAATTGGGACAGTGTGACCAGAGGAAGTGTTTGAACCAAATAAATACTACATGTCCCAAAAGATTATTATTTATATGAACACTGTAGAGAATTACAGCTCTGTTTAAATTAATTTTATAGGGTAACTATTTGTAATATTTATTAATCATCATTTTAAAATGAATATTTTACTCGTTCTTCATATTTTTTTTAAATGGCATTGCTTTGTAAATCTATCGATAAGCCACCCACATCGATGTATAGTGTGGCCGCACTGCAATGTTGTTGTCCGAAAACAAAAAAAAAAACAATTAGCTGGAAAGAGCAAGTCTACTAAAAGAGCTATCATAAATTGTATTTATTAAGTTTAGGCGTAAAGATTAGTGCGAATACTCAGCGGGACGAAAAATGCAAAGCGTTCTTAACACCGTGAAAGGCACGGCGCTTAATGTGGCCGAATATCTAACGCCCGTTTTAAAGGTGAAATGTGCCAAATAGACGAAAATCTGCCTATCAAAACGATCAAATATATACAAAATAGTGTAAAAATGGGGTGTATATATAAACGGGGGCCAATCAATGACAAAGAAAGCCTAAAAAGATAAGGGCTTTTCAAGCTCGATTATTGATTCCCTCATTTACAGCGACCTCTGTCCTGTTTAACTACCCCTGGTGTCAATAAAACTGGATTCACCGCCAGACTGTCTCCAAATAAAAACAGAAGGGTGGTGTCACATAAGTTTATGACACTTTTAATAGAGATTGGGTTGAGAAAACTCTTGGAAAGAACGTCAGTTTCACAAAGATTTTAAGGAAGTATATTTAAGAAAGTTTTTTCGAAGTTTTTTGTTCGGTTTGATTAATTTTAAAGAGGTTTCTGAGGACAGAAGACTTTACTTTTCCTATACATTTAAAAAAAGATTTCTGGAGCACCACTCTGATCTTAACTGTATTGTCCTTTAATTTCTAATATTCTTGCAGGAATCAAAATTCCGCGAGACGGGTGTTCTTACTCCGGAGGAGTTCGTGGCCGCCGGAGATCACTTGGTGCACCATTGCCCGTCTTGGCAGTGGGCCGCCGGCGATGAAACCAAGACGAAACCCTACCTACCAAAGGGTAAGTGCTGCGATTTGCCATTAATCACTGGCCAATTTACTCATTAAAATCATTTGCGGCCCCACTTAGATAAGCAATTTCTGATAACGCGCAATGTTCCGTGCTATCGTCGCTGCAAGCAGATGGAGTACGTCGGCGAGGAGACGCTGGTGGAGGAAGAGTCCGGCGACGGCGGTTGGGTGGAGACCCACCAGCTGAACGACGACGGTACCACGCAGCTGGAGGACAAGATCTGCGAACTGACAATGGAGGAGACAAAGGTTAATACGGGAAAAAAAATGGGAAACATGATAGAAAAAAGTTTCAGATTTCCTATACTATGTATTGCTTTTACATTGCATATTCGCTTTTCTCTCTTGAGTGAAACCTAATGCAATAAAGAAATTATATCTTGCAGGACGAAATGCACACTCCAGATAGTGACAAATCAGCCCCAGGCGCAGGAGCCGAGGTCGACGACGAAGACGATGACGAGGCCATTGACATGGACGACTTCGAGGAGAGCGGCATGCTGGAGCTGGTCGATCCGGCCGTGGCGACCACCACGCGCAAGCCGGAAGCAGAGGAAAAGACCAGTCCAGTGGCTGCCGCATCGGGCGAGGCGGAGGCCAGCGGTGGCGACTCGGTGCTCCACACTCGCACCTACGACCTGCACATCAGCTACGACAAGTACTACCAGACGCCACGCCTCTGGGTGGTCGGATATGATGAGCAGCGCAAGCCACTGACCGTGGAACAGATGTACGAGGACGTCTCGCAGGATCACGCCAAGAAGACGGTCACCATGGAGTCGCATCCGCATCTTCCAGGCCCCAATATGGCGTCAGTGCATCCCTGCCGGCATGCGGATATTATGAAGAAGATTATCCAGACGGTGGAGGAGGGCGGCGGCCAGCTAGGAGTGCATTTATACTTGATCATATTCCTGAAGTTCGTTCAGACCGTCATACCAACCATCGAATACGATTTTACGCAAAACTTTAACATGTCTTAAGACCGCCATGCTTTTCAATATTGACGCAATAAAATACAAGTTTCTGAACCAAAAATCGAATAAAGATTTGGGCAAACAGCTTAAAAAATCGGATACACTTTGTTTCGTTTTTATAATTACTTTTTATTTCACTTTGCATTTGTTGTTGTTGGTTGGTTGCATGTTTGAAACATCTCTGAGATGAAATTGTATGTTAACATAATAATAAAGCATATTAAATCAATTGATCGAATATGCATTGTAGTTTTAGGTAGTTTTGTTTCTAGTTAAATGATTTTTTTTTGCATTTTAACAGTTTTTCAAACTTAAAACGTGTGTGTTGCTTGCATTTATATTAATCATTTAATGTATAACTGTTAGATCCTTTTTAAATTTTTTATTGTTTTATAGTATATATATATAGATTTTCTTAATAGTTAAAATCACTTTTCATTTGCAATAACAGGTTCACATCGTAATCAATTTTACAATAAACATACCTAACGCCATTCATACCTGAATAAACATATATATTTTTTGTATGTGTATATCGATCCCGCCTTCTCTTCCCTTCTATTAACGTGTTTTCAACAACATGCCGCCAGCGTTACGTTAGACGTCAACAATTTTGCCCTTTCCTTATCAACTTTTAATATTACTGATCCGCTACTTGTCATCTCTCGTTTCCAACTTTTACATTATTTACCCATATTTTTGTTTACTTTTTTACACTTTATAATACATACAGAAGTTATACGTACCAACTAGAGACCTAAATGTGTATTGTATACCTAGGCAAACCTATTTAGACGTCGTCGTGCATTCGTTTTTGTAGTTTTTGCCCCTACTTGCGTCTGCCAGAAAATGTTCTAATTTTCGTGAAATGTTCTGCTACTTCCAATTTTTTATACATTTTTAAACGACTTTTGTTTTTTATACACGCTGCTCTTACATTTGAAATGTGTGTCGTAAATTGATTTTGTTTACTGAATCTGGAGTTTTTATATTTGTTTAATTTTATAAGGTACATTTTGTTTAAGCGCAATGCCTAGGCAAGAATTAAGGCAATGATTGGACTCACGAAGTAACACACAAATTTATTAATTCCGATGAGATTAGAGTAAATAAACGCACTAAAAAAAACTAAAAAGCATATGTCAGGTAACAAAGTATTCGAATTAAAATTTGATCCGCCATTAAATTTTTATTAAATATAGTTTATTTGGTTTGTTTATTTCGATTTTTGATTTTTACAATATTCATCTTTTCTTTAATTCGATTTTTGTTCCGATTCATTGCCCAAATTCGTGACTAAGCATCTTTTACTTTTAGTTTTAAAGTGCTATATAGCTGGTTTTGATTTTATTATTAATTTTGTTTACCCTTTAACTGATTTATGTTATTTTGCACAAAATATATACTGTTTTTAAATATAAGCTTCACACTTTCTGGTTGCTGACATTGAAACAATTACATCTTTGTTGAAATTTACAAATAGTTGAAACTTGCTGCTAAATTTAAATATATATGTAAGTATATATTCACTATATAGTTTTAACACGATCTTTATTAATTTATATAATTTCTTGCTCTTCTTTATGTTGTTGTAGGTAGTTGTTTGCATTGTTTTCTTACAATTAGATGAAATTACAATTATAATATACACATACATTCATACCATGAACACCTAAATTTGCTTTGTTTTTATTTTCTTTGTATGGATTTTCGGTTTTTTTTTTTGCTTGTTGTTGTCGTTAGATTAGACGCAAATACTATGCAAGACACTTGGCGCAAAAAATACAATAATCGATTTATAATTGGAAACGAAAGTAATTTGAAAACTATAGTAGACCAAGTTCTTGGTAAAAAGTTTTAGGACGCTTAAAATTACGCCAATTTACATAAAAATATATATAGACTTGTATCCATAAGTATCGTATTCATAAAGGTATATAAAAATAAAATTTCTCATGCTTCTTTTGCGTTTCTTTTTCTTTTGCAATGCCTAAAGAAAGTGGGGTTCCTTGCCGTATTAAAATTTATATCCATACAACTACATATTCTCGTTTCAAGGTTCAAGGTTTTAAAAATTGCTTCATCGGGAATACAAATAAAACACGAATTAATTTAAGACAAATTAATTAATTATTTAAATGTAAACTAGACCTAACCGTAAACGTAATAATAATTAACATTGAATCAACAAATGTGTGCATGTGTGTGTTTAGGTGTGATAGTTGGTGGTGTTGGTGGTAGTAGTGATGATGCATTCCCATATTCATAATACGGAATTCAGTATCCTCCGTCCTCCGTCCGCCCTTCTGGTTGTCCTGGTTGCCTTCGGGGACTCCCCGCCTTGTTATTTACATTTCATAAATGATTAAGTATTCCGTGTCACGCTGCCCCGGCCTCTACACCTTGCGCTTGGCGTGCAGCATCTCCATGAGCAGCGTTTGGGTGGGCGCACTGCCGGCACAGTGCTTGACGTACAGGTGCTCCTCGCCGCGAGCGGCCATGGCATGGATTTCCGGTAAGATGTTCACTAGCTTACTGAACTTTTCCTGCAAGAAGCCAAAAAAGAAACTCAAGCTTTAGTTGCGAGTGGTGGCGAGTAAATAAAAGGACAGGTCCTGCCACAATAAGAGATCCAAACAAATCTGGCATAACTCTTACTCAGGATTTCGATACCCTACACAGAGACTTATTTTACTCACATTTACTGACGGGTAGCAGGTGAGGGTGTAGTCCAGCAAGGCGGCTTGCACATTATCATGTCCCTCGGAGACGGTCTTCCGGTTGACAATTCCCCGTACAGCTGTAAGGAAACAGGAAAAGAGAAGTTTAAGAAGGTCGCCAATCTGCGCGGTAAACTTTACGGCCTTACTTGGATTCAACAGGATTAGGAATTTCATGCAGACATAGTCGCCCATATCGAACTTAAGATCTTGCAGCTTGTTCTGCAGCTCGTTGAAGTAGTCGCCCAGCTGGGGCACACCCAGCAGTCCCAGACTCATCAGATTGAAGACCTGGCCATTGTTCAGTTGCGTCTCGTCGGGCAGCCCGTTGTGGATTCGATGGTGCAGGTGATCCAAAACCAGCATGTCCGACCAGGAATGCTGCAGCAGCTTCATTTGGTCGTCGACCTAGATTTGAAAAAGAATTTTAAAACAAAATGGTTCATCAAACTATGAAACTAGCAATAAACAAGGCTGTTAAAATAATCAGCACGGTTGTCACTTTTTGAGTGCAAGATTCGAAATGGATCTTGTACACTTATCGAGATCCCAAATTCTATGTTTTAAATTTATAGCGATCACATACGAAAGACCGTTTAAAATCTTATTTTCAACATTTTGAGTTGATCGAATAACAACTTAAATGGATTTTTAAGCGACAACCGCACGCACGAGGATCAATAGATACATTTTGGGCGATGGTATGGTATGGAGATAGCTAAGGCCTAGTTTTGGATGCTCTGGCATTACGACACGCCCTCTCTTTCGCCCAGCGATTCTCTCGGACTCTCGCTCTGTGGGTTTCTCCGTGTTCCCCCGTGCCTGAGGTCTCAGTCTGAGTCTCGATTTCGGTTTCTCCGCTCTCGGTGGGCTGCTATGGGTAGGGTATGGCATGGTATGGGTGAGCAGCACATCAGTTGCGTCATTGAGCGAGAGACGCTGCTGCTCGGCTGACTGACTGGTTCAGCTTTGCTGGCTAAGTAGGTCAGACGCCAAATGAAATCGAAATTCAATGCAGATTCAGCCGGCGTCGCTGTCGACGTCGCTGTCAGTTGTCGGTGGTTTACATAACACGCCGCAGACTTGGCCCCTAGCTCGAAAACTGGTTTCTGGCTTTGAACCATGTTGCTGCTGCTGTTGCTGTTGCTTTTGCTGTTGCTGTTGCGCCTGTTGTCTGTCTGTGTTTTCTGATTTCTGTTTCTGATTTTTGATTTACTGGATGGATGTGGGGGGCTACCGTCGGGGTTTTGAGGCACCCCGATGCCTTAGAGCGGCCCATACCTTCAGATCCTTGAAGAAGACGGTGTTCCGTGCCCAGTCCACTTGCGAGAATAGGTTCTGGTCGAGCACTTTGCACATCAGCTCGAAGAGATCCACCTCCACCTGGTTGTAGGTCTGCTTCTGCAGCAGGGCAAACAGTTGCGTCTGCCATTCCCGATCGTCGATCGATTGCACAAATTCACGTATCATCGGTGAGACTCTGCGAGAATAAGAGTGGGTTTAAAATAATCTTAAACTGAAGAATCATCTCCTGCAGAACTCACCTTAATGGCTCTATTAGCGCGTCGGCTGTGCTCGATGGATGTGTGCCGGAATCAAAGCTTTTTGCAGATAAAAGATACAGAAAAGTAATAATTAATTTGTGGTTAGCTGACTTCAAATTGGAGAGCTCATCAAATGACAACTAAGCAATGCGCGAAAGGGCGGCTTGGGAAATTCAATTTGGAGTACATGGAAATCTTGAGATTGGTTAATAAATATAAAATTAAATACAAAGTTAAGTGATTAATATTAAAAGTAAAATCCCAACGCTGCCCTTTCCACATTTGCTGCATAATCAAGTTGAATCCTTTCCCACAAATTGAGTTAAATATCGAGAGTTTGCTTTGGATATTGGTTGGAGTTCGTTTGTCGTTTGTTTTGGTTTCAGTTTGAGTTTGAGTTTGGACATTCTTTGAGTTCTGTTCTGGCTTTTGGGGTAAATACCACAATTTCGCGTCGGCCGTGTTCTGCAGAGATCCTATTCCAGCCTCGTGGCAACTGCTGTTGCCGTTGCCGCCGTTGCGATGCAGGCCGTCGGCGGAGTTCGTGCCCCCGCCCCCGCCGCCTCCTCCTCCTCCGCCGCCGCCCGCATTGTTGCCACCTCCTCCGCCGCCGCCGCCGGACGCTCCGTTTCCCGTGCTGCCGTTGTTGTTGCCGCTGCTGCTGCTGCCGTTGCTGCTATTGCCATTGCCCACGGAGCTGGGCCCGTTCAGACCTCCGCCGCCGCCACTGCCGCCGTTGCCGGCGTTCATGGGCGTGGCTATCACACCGCCCGTGCTCGCGTTCACCTGTCCCAGCGCAATCGCAATGGGGCTGGGCGACGAATCCGGCGATTGGGTGAGTGAGGATACCTGCGAACAATTTCCAAGAACTTATTAAATTCTGAGTCACTGCTTTGATGTGTTTTATATAATTTGTTGCCCTTGTTTCAGATATCTTGGCATTATCGTAATGAATAAGAAATGTAAGAAGTCTTCAAAGTTCTTATAATTAAAGAACAAAAAAAAAAAAACAAGAAGAAAATGTTGCATTTTAAAAATTGTTGATACACTCTCTTTAAATTGTTCAGGAGGCAACTATGTATTTTGATGTTTTTATATTTATAATTGTTTTTGAAAAAAAAAATGAAGCAAAGGACATCTTTACTGTTATTTAAATATCGAAAATGCATTTTTTACCTGAGGTATTTGAATTTCCTGCTTAATGTTCATATTTGGATATGCTTGCTGGTAGCCCGGCGAGATCGGCGTTGGCTTGATGTCCGGACCTATCGAGTTGCGGAGTGCTTGCAGCGCCAACTGCCGCTGCCGCATCACTTGCAGCTTCCGCGCCCGATCCCGCTTGTACATGGGTCCGAATTTGTTGCGTCCACCACGCATTCGATCCGCCCGCACAGCTGCAAGCAAAAGGATTTCACATTAATGAAATTGTTTCTTATTGTTTTGAGTGGTTAGAATAAGTAAAAAAAACCTTCCTCTTAATCTTTATTTTATTAACGCCTTTTTATCTGAATGATTTTATGCAGAATTGTTATCTGAAACACTCGCTACAATTCTGAGCCTAGAAACACAATAGTGACTGCCCAGTCCTTATTCTGTAACCTTTAAATGGATTCGATAACATTCTTTTAAATATGCAAAGCAAAAGAATAAATATACATATACAAATAATTTTGTATTGTTGTTGTTTTTATCGAATAATAAAAATAATAAAAGCTTATTACATATTTATTTGTTGATATATTGAAATAATTTCCGAGGAACCCAATCGCTTTTCAAAACCCTTAAATTCCTAAGTGTCAGTTTTTAGGCGTTTTTACAACCCTAACTTTAAAACAACAAATATTCTATATCATCGGTTTCTGCCTGAAAAAACTGCTTAGAAATGGAATTTAGTTGAGGAAGAAGCACATGATTGCTAGTATAGTTTGGGGTATTGTCAATACCATATTATAGCAATCATTATTTTTGCCAAGTTAAACCAAAATTTCGGACTCCTTGACGTTGTCAATGCTGGCTTTCTCTGTATATATTTATTGAAAACGATAACGAACTTAATCCATCTCCCATTTAACTGACCCAAAAAATGTAAGCTAGCAGAATGCAAACGTGGGGAAAACATCCTATTCGTTTCAAATTTCTCATTAAAAGCCAACTCATAACAGCGCTTGACAAAAACAACGAGCAGGCAAACGCACACCCACAACTACATATATAGTGCATATGCATACGCACATACAAGTACGCACATGGAAAATATAGTTACATACACATATTGCGCATACGCCGCATTGTACAGCGGCATCAAAACAAAAACTGTACAACGCGCAAATGTGTATTTACGTGCGTTTGTATGTGGCAACACGCTAAATGAAACGCAATAAAAATGCGCTTCTTATGGCGCAGCACGAAAAAAGAGCGTAAGGGGTGCAGAGAAACAAATACATGTTAATATTAATTTTCCATGGAATCTTTACTTAAGGTAACTGGCCTAAATTTCTTATAAAGTTGTATACCAATTTGAAATATATAAATTAAAACTAGTAAGTGACCCTTGAGAAAATAATAATGATAATTAAAAGTCATATTTATGAAGAAATTATTTATTTCATTACTTAGCTCAATAGATTATTATAAACCTCACTCAAAATATATTGCTGTACATCGTTGCAAATTGTTTATTTGTAAAATGAGCCTAACATTTTTAAGAATTACAAAGGACTTAGAACATCAGTAAAACAAAAAACATAAAATGCATAACGAATGAAGAAACAAAGAATATAAAAGCCAATATTTTTCTGGTGTGTTGGTGAGAATTGCGAGGGTGGCTTTCGCCAAAAACAGATTGTGATTGCAGCTAGCGCCATGTTGATTACAAGATGCAATTGTCGGGGGTTGTTTTCACACATCCACAACACAACAAATAAGAAAAAAAAACCGCGAGGAGGTGGCAATGGGCGGCAGGTGGCCACCATAAAATATGCATTTCAAATCCAAAGGCGGAAAAAAATAAAACACAATCCAACACACACAACATTTTGATATATGCAGTTTTAGTGCGGCGAACAAGTAACTGTAATTTAGGTCAAGCGTATTGTTTACAAATAATCAACATACATATGCATTTGAATGGGTTTGTGTGCGTGCTCGAGAGAGGCCAACATTTCGCTCTCAAATGCGGCAGTCACCGCTCTCTTTTGATTATGTTTTTGGCTTGGCAACGCGAAAGAGCTTTCTATTACGACATTTCTCTCCTCGCACAACCACAAACACACTCGGGAACCAGAAAGAGAGCGAGGGAGAGTCGAAGACAGAGAGGCTTTCCGCATTAGACAACTTTGTTGTTGCTGTTGAGTGGAGTAGGTCAAGGACAGTGTGTGTGAAAACTGGGACAACACGGCCATTGTTGTTGCCTACCAACTCTCCGAAAAAGAAAAACTTACTCTCTTTCACACTCACTCGCTCGCTTTTGTGTGTTGGGAAAGTTGTTTGTATTTGTGGGCGACTTACAGCCGCTTTTTATGTCTTTTTCCTTTTTCCGGCTTTGTATCAAGTCTATTTATGTTGGGCAAGGTAAGACAAATACAACAAAAAATACTACCAATCGATGGGGAATTTATCGAATTCATAAAAACGTTCCCTATGCACATTTTCCCCGCTAATTTGTTGATCCGTTCACTATCTTTTTTTGTAAAATGGCTGTTACATCATTTCATAGTGACATTTCTTCACTTTCAGTTTGGGCATTTATTTAGATTTTCACCTTTTTGTTGGTTGTCTTTTTGTGTGGGGTTAAGTGGTTCAATTTGTATACCACAAAAATGTTTGTCGAAAGTTATTCCCACCCTATGGCCCTTCCCTTTTTCTTTTTTAAAATTTTTCGGAATATTTTCACACAAGCAGCTGGGAAATCAATAAATGGCCTGTCACTCGCAGTTTTTTTTAGGCGTTTGAGGACAAAGCATTTACTTTTAAAGCCAATAGAAGCATATACCATTTGGTTGAAACTAATTCGGATCGTATGAGTAATTTTAAGTTTATCAAGCTGGTGTATTGATTTTATTTCAGTTTTTAGTGGATAAAATGGCTAATAATTCCGTGTTTTATCGTTTACTATGTTATGGAATAACTTTAGGTGATTGTAATGCGCAAATTTAAACGCCCGCTGCAAGGATATCTTAAGAAAGTAAGTTAATAATCATTTATTTTAATCTCATAATGAAACATGAGTTTAAAATTACATATCCGCTTTTGCTGCGGGTATAAATACAACAGGTCGTATACTTAATATTACGCATACGCATAGTTTTGCTTTTAAAGAAAAAATAAACAGCCATATTAAAAAAAAAAACAGAAATGTGTAGGAAATCAACTAAGTAAGAAATAATTGCATCATTTCCTCATTCTTTAAACAAATACAATAAAAAATTTTTAATTTTGTTTTTTTGTAAGAGGAAACCTATTTAGACACCAATTTAAGCAAATCAAGAAATTAAAATCAACAATAGGATAGGAGTCCCTTTTGTGCCTACCTCTGTAACAAAAACATATGGCATTCGAGCCATATGAGTCATAATCTCCAGCTAAGCCGAAAGCCTCGCTGGTCTTTATAGCCCCAAAAATAAAGCAAAACCCAAGCTCAAGTCACAAAATCCAAAAGCGGCTAAAAATTGCCGCAATTATAAAGACCAAAGCCTGACTGGGAGATATAGTCGGCGGTATCTGGGGAATCGGCGGAAGAGAGAGCGAGGGGAACTGGCGCTGACGAAAGAGATTTCAACAGAGGCGAACGGAAGGACGGAACGAGACGGAACGGAACGAAAAGAGGCAAACGGCGAGAAACGACGACAACGAAGCAAAAATGTTCGTAATAATTCAGTGAGTATTAAAAATAAAATACACTCAACGCTCACACGGGCGCTACATGTTGCATTGATTACACACTCACACGCAGAAAATGCCGAGAGAGACAAACATTTTGCCATATCACGTGCACGCACACCAAGACACAGTGGAATCTAGGTCATGAGCGCAAGAGATGGCACTATGGGCCAAGTACACAAAGGCGGAACCGAGATGGCGATACTTTGATATACGTACGTGTATATTGCACACACGACGTTTTTGCGGCCGCCGTCGCTGCTGGCGTCACTGCCGGCTTCGCTGCCCCCGCTGACTCAAGTGTTTGCTAGTGTGGGTAAGCGGAGAGTCGCTTGAGTGAGTATTTGTGTGTGAGAGAGCGCTACAAGACAAAAAATAACTATCAAATGAAAAGCGAATTTCGTTTCGAGTGCGTGTAAATTTGATGGACAATATTTGTTGGCTAAAAATAAAAATTAGCGGAAGTAAAAATATTTGATAATTTTACTAAATTGATTTTTAAATGCTTCCATTTGTAAGGTAATTTTTAATAAAAATTAAACAAGAAGGAATTTGGTAATACATAATTAGAAATAAAAATAAAGTAGTTATTTTATTTATTTTATATAACAAATAAAAACCATATTTTTCTTTACGTTGAGGATTTATACTGTTGTTGTTTAAAACTGTCTTGAATAAAGACTTTAAAAAAACCCAAGTTTGAAGTATCTAAATATTGCATAAAATAAAACAAATATATAACAATTTATCAAAGGCCTTAAAATCACCAAAAAAAAAAAAAAAAAAAATGTTCATCGTCCGGCAATTAAAATTTTCACACTTTTCACACTTTGCATAATAATTTTCAGAGTTTGTTTGAGGCTGCCCCACAAACAACACAACATGTGGCAAGCAAGCGAGCGTTTCAAATGATAAGTAACAAACAAAAAACGCAAAACAAAAATTGCTCGCTCTTGTTTGAATCCAGTTCACAAAAGCAGTCAGTCAGGAAAAAAAGACTATTACAAAATTCAATCAATTTTCGAAAAGAGAGCACAGCGATTCAGATAACTGTAGTATACAGTTATGTCCTTATGAAAAATAATGCTTTACTCAAAAGTCATTTTTAATCATAGGATTTTTTATCTAAATTTTAGTTTCAATGGCTTACATTTTTTATATACTTAACATTTAAAAAAAAAAAAATTTTAAGTAATAAAAACTATGCCTTTCATAAAATTTTTTTAAGAAATATAAAAAAAATATGTAAATAGGTTATTTCTACTGTCACATTGTGGGAGAGCCGAAAGTCTCTCTTTTGCAGTATTGCCGCTTTTTGTGTTTTGGTTTTGAGCTCTGTTTTTGTTCTCTGCTCTTCCCCTTTTGCTTCCCTCTCTCAGCTCTCTCTTGAGAGCAACGCCGGCAGAGCCTTTTTTGTGGGTGAGGGCGTGGAATTCTTATGGGACCGGTGCATGCTGCACCGACTCTGAATATATATTCACATAAATCCGTATATGTGGGTCTCACATAGATTCCAGTACATAAGGCAGTACATGTCTGTGTACTATATTCGATGCACATGCTTGTTTGTGGGGCGCCCTCTCAACTTGTGTGGGTGAAGTTTTTTTTCCTTAAGTTTCACTTTGACTTACGCAAAAAAAAAAAATTATATAAAAACGAGGGTCCGGAAAACGAGGAACAATTTTTTGCCAGATGAAAAGTAATTATGCAAGTAATAAAGTGAGGGCAAAAATAATATAGGAAAGAGGGAAGGAGGGAAAAATTGCAATTAAATATGTATGAATGCTTTTCAAAGAGAAAATTTGTATTGGTTTGGGCTTAGTTTTATGTAAAGGTCATGAATAAAAAAAAATATTTAATAAAAGAAAAGTCATGTTATATGATGCAAAAGGAAAAAAATTAAAAAATAAGGACACTATACAGATTTAACAGTTTTAGGCGAGATCAAAAACTAAATCTTCTTATTTGTACTGATCAATAATGAATAAAACAGTTTGTTTTTAAGGTAGTTTTTAAAAAATTTTTTTTATCAGAAATGGCATAAAAATGGTCACTTTATCCAAAGAATACAAAAATGTTTTCCGAGCACAAGCCCAAAAGAAAACAAACGTAGAAACCGAAAGGTAAATGAGAACGAGGTAAAAGAGAGACAGCACTTTTGTGTAATAAAAAAACCAAAATGTTGACGCAGTGACAACAATGACAAAAGCTGGCGTCATTAAGACGTGACAGAGCCAAGAACAACAACGAAAATACGAACCGCAGACTGACCGACCTACTCAACAATACGAGTAATAACAAAAGAAACCAGCCAGGCGGCGAAATAAATAATTGGGATAGGTCTGGGATATGGCCGCAGAGATACATTTATTAATAAATTCTAAACGCCGTTGTGTTGTTTATATGCCAGAAATGGGATCACAGCCCCGCAGAGGCTATCAATAATGCATTTAAACATTATCTTTGCTGAATTACTCATTTCGAGAGGCAAATACGAATGAAATTAGTGAATTCTCGGTAGATTGTGCAAATTCCTTTAAGAGAGCAACAATTTAAGTTTTGAATTTCCAGCAGAAACAATTCCCCAAAGAATTTCAATGCTAGTTGGCTCATTTGTAGCTTTTGTTCCTGCGCATTTATAAATAATAAGAATATCGATTTAATTTCATTTCGACTGCAGAAGCGGCACCGCCGAAAGCCAAAAACTGCAAACAAGGGACGAAGCCAGTTCTCTTCCATATAATATAGGCATTCCCAGACAAGCGAACGAATTATAGGAAAAGGGGTCATGGTTGAGGCTGCCAACAGTCGGAACTTCCCTTTTCGGCTTTATAAATGTCATTTTGTACCGCAAGGAATATGAGCTCAAATGGATTGGGGAATGGGAAAAACTATAAAACCTATGTTAAATTATTAGACATTTCGAAGGAAGAGATTATATTGAGACAAGATTTTTCAAATAAATGTTTGTTGTGTTCTTAAAAATTCTACACGCTGTCTTAAAAAAAATCACATTAAATAAAAATAAACCACTTTTTACGTAAAAGAATATTAAATAATAATAAAAAAAACATTTTTTTTTTTTGGGTTAGCTACTAAAATCGACTCGCTAAAAGCCATTAAAGCTATATACACTATATGCCATATACTATTTACTATATACAACTAACTCTCGATCTGTGATCAAGTAATATCGAGTTTGCAAAACTTTTCAATGCTGACTGCATATTAAAACGAGTTTTTTATTGTTCCCTCAGGGACATCACTCATCCGCACTGTTGTAAACGTTGTCGAGGGTCAGGGAAAATACGTGACTCTAGTTGGAGTCCTACAACCATCTAGAAAATATCGAACTCTTGTGAGTCATATGAATCCAATATTTAAAAAAAAAAGACTAACATATAATAATGATATTATTATCAATTTCTGTGGGGTTTTCTTTAAACAGTCGACTCTTTTTATTTGTCTACTGTGCAGCAATTATTTTAGTATTTCTTTAATAGTTAATCGCTACAAATAACAAGGCATTTAAATATTAAAAAAGGTTTTTTTCCATCTCTTTCAAAATTTTTCGAATCATGCTAATAAAAAGTAAAACTCATAGGCAAACTTCTTCATCATTTAAACAGGTAAACAGTATATCCTTACAACCAAGAACGATTAATATACCATATATTCATTTTGTTGTTTGAAAACTGAAGAATTAAAGCTTTGGGTTTGTATGCAAAAAACTTTTTCTAGAACAACTAACTGAGTTCTAACTAGAACTCAAAGACTGTAAGAGCTGTCTAGGTACTTAAGATATAACTAGTAGTATTACGGATTGACTCACCTTCCAGCTTCATGCCGACCTCGAGGCACTTCTGGAAGCGGCAGTAGGGACACCGCTTGCGCTGCGTCTTGTCGATGTGGCACGACCGCTCCGCCACGCAGGTGTAGACCTTCTTGTTCTGCACGGTGCGCTTGAAGAAGCCCTTGCAGGACTCGCAGGTGAGCAGGCCGTAGTGGTAGCCGCTCACCTTGTCGCCGCACACGGGGCACAGCTCCTCGAACAGGTGCTTGAAGTCGATCACCTCGCCGCCGTGCCCGGGCGTGGCGCTCGTACCGCCCATGGGATTTCCCGGGCCGGAGTTGCCGCCCGATCCGCCGTTGTTGCCGCCGCCGCTGCCGTTGCCCACGGAACCGGAGGACATGTGGCCGCCGCTCTGGTTGTTGTTGTTGCCACTGGAACTGGCCGCCTGCGGCAGCAGCATGTAGCCACCGCCGGCGGAACTGCCGCCGGAGCTGCCATTGAGCAGGTTGCCCCGCCGCCGCCACCGCCCCCTCCACTTTGCTGCGAGTGCGAGGAGGTGGTGTCCTGATAGCCTGTCGGAAATATATACTGTGAATCGAAATTGTATATATACGAGTAGGACGAGGAGTTGAATTGATTGGCATTGTTGGCAATATTCTGTTGTTGCTGCTGGTAGTGCTCTTGCTGCTGCTGCTGTTGCTGGTGTTGCTGCTGCTGCTGCTGTTGCTGCTGCTGGTGGTGGTTGCTGTGGTGCTGCTGGCTGCCACTGCCACTCCCACCGCCGCCGCCGCCCGCCAATTGCAGCGTGTAGGCATTGTATTCATGCTCGAATTTGGTTAGAACATGTGCATCGTTATCGTTGTTATTGTTGTTGTTGTTGTTGCTGCTGCTGGTGTTGTTGCTGCTGCCGCCGTTGTTGTTGCTACCGCTGGCGCTGTTGTTGTTGCCGCCGGCGGCCAAAGCGGGACTGGAGGGCTGCTGCTGCTCCAGCTGCATGCTGAACGGCGATATATTCAGCGACGATATAAACTGTACGGTCGCCTGTTGCTGATCCATTTCTAATAACATTTCATGTACGTTTATTTGGGATGAATTCAGGGCGAGAGGTTTCGTTTTCCCCTTGAGAGGCCGACGAGCTTTCCTTTAACTTCAGTGTTTCCTTTCCTGGACGGAAGTTTGAATTGTTTATCTTTTGCTTTGCTTAATTAACCAGCACTTGCGTTGGAGAGTTGGTTTAAATTTGGTAGTAAAATAGGTTGCGGTTAGCATACGGTGGTCTGGTTTTTGCACTCAATTTTTGGAGATTTTTTATTTGCAACATTTTTAAGGCCAATTGTTGAACAGAATGTTTGGAGTTCTGCCACAAATCGTGTTTGCTTGCTTTCAACAGTGATGTTTAAAATGTATCATAATATCTTGACATATTTTATATATATTTTTAACACAGAATTTGAATGATGTTTTGTTTGCTTTACAATTATTTAATTTTTAATTTCTTTAAAAGAAATGTATTTTAGAAATGTTTTGGAATTGTTTGGTTCTTTAGAAGAAGTGGATTTAACTTTGTTTGTTTGTTAATTTAGCAATTTTCTTTAAAAGAAAATTATTCAACAAATTTGCTGTGTGATCGACTTTTTAGGGTTTATCTGGCATTTGATATTTCTGTAACGATTATTTCTTTAGAAGAAGTTCTGCTTTTTTGTTTTGTTATTTATTTTTGCTTAAATTGTTACTTCTTTTGCAGGTACTTTGACGAGGTGAGTGAGATAGATATATGTATGTTTATGTATATTTATATGTAGAGTAGACAGCAAAAAGGATGAATTCTTTATAAACTTTTGGTTGGTTTGCCTGGATAGAGGTAGGACTTTTTGTTTTATATATATTTAATATATTTATATATATAGCTTGATTGTGTGCGTTGAATTGAAACGAGATGTATAAACACTTTTTGGCTTTGCTAAGTATATTTTCACTTTTGTATTTTGATTGAAAGTGGGTCACGAATTTATTGCACTATATGTGGGAATCGGATTTTGTTGTTTAAACAATTTGCATTGCACACACACACACACAAATGCACTAAGCACAAACACACTCACGCAACGCAGCAAGAGAACATAATCCTTGGGCTGTTCTGCTGGTGTGGGTGAGGTGCTATTTGATTTGACTTCAATTTACTTGTATTTGTATTTGGTGCATGCAATTCGATTGCCTTTTTATCTATTTCGCAATGGCTTTTTGTTTATTTTGATCGATATTTGGGTCACCGACACACGCGCACATTTGTTGTTAACAATATTTCGTTAGGTGTAACGCTTTGTCATATGTGTGTGTTTTATGTGTATGTATATATATGTCGATAGCTATGCGAAAAACACGACCAACATCAACCACGTATCGCGATTGACTAAACCCAAGTAAACGGCGAGGATACCGCAATACACTACTTGGCTGGCGTCGCTGCCTCTGCCGGCGTTGGCTTCGCTGCCCCGGCCGACGTCACTCTCGCTCTCAGTCGGCCATTTCGGTTATTACGTATACGCTCGGTGGGTCGTTCGGTTGTTCGCTCGTTTCACTTTCAACGGAGCTGCGCTCTCTTGTCCGTTTTTCTCTCTCGCTCTCTCTCTCTCTCTTGCCAAATAGAGAGCGTTCAGCACTGCATGGCTTGACTTAGTGCCCCCCTTTTTTTTGGGGCTTTGTTTTTGCTGTTGAAATTCAAACTCAAACCCAAAAGCAAACGCAAACCGAAAGCGAAAGTGAAACTTTTTGGCATAGCTTTGAGCCACTGTAAACTGCTGTACAGTGCAACAACAATACGTCATTCTTTCGGAAGTACAGTCGTAGAAATTGAAATAGAAACGAAGAGTAAATGCATTTTTATTTTTGTTGCGTTATAATCCTACAATTTAACTTTACTTATTTAAGATTTTTAAATTTTAATCCGTTCGCTCGATATTTATAATTTGAAACTATGTATCTTAATTTGAAATAAATAAATAGCAGTATAACAAACTGTAATAAATGAATAATACATTTTTAATACCCGATGTACTAGTTTTTTAAATGTTTAAATGGCAAATTAAAAAAGGTCGCATTTTTTCTTCCTAGACTGTGTCTATAGCCAAACGAACGGCATTATGAAAGCCTTTAAGCCTTAACTTTTCAAGTGGCTATTTTGTAATTTCTTACTCACTCAAATAAACTGGGAATTTTTTTTGGGTCTCTTCTTCAGCAGTTTTTTGTACTTTTTTCGCTTTGAATTTTTTGGGTTTTGTTGCCACTGCAGCTGCTTGGTTTAGTTTCTTCTTTTTTTTCTTTCCGCTTTGTGTCTGTGTTTTGGTCTCAATTAGTTTGTGGGTTTCTCATTGTTGTTTTTGCTGGTTTTGTTGCATTTGTTCATGACACGGTTTTCATGTGGCGCGTTTTCGTTTCCTATTTCTATGTTTTGTTATTGTTTCGCATATTCATGCTTTTATTTAATAAGTATTGCTTTGGGCTTTTTGCTGATTTAATATAAAGTTATTGGGTCTTTGGGTTTTTGTGCAGTTATTAATTTTGTAGCTATTCGTCATTCTTTTTTTCAGATAAGCATAGTTCAAATTGTGTTATTTTATTCATGTTTTTATATATTTATTTTTTAATAGTATAAATATAATGTGCAAAGGATTATATATCTGTTTTATTTTTTTTTAAATGTGTAATTTTTTTTTATTGTGTAATATTTTTATTTAAGATTATAATATGATCCTCTTTTTTCTTTTTAAAGGTTTGTAACTTTTAACGCGTTCCGCTTTATTAGGTATACATTTTTCTGTTTTTATTTAAAAAGTTATTGTTTAACTGTATTTATTTGCGTACCATTTTATTAAATTTTATTACCGTCCAAAACTGATTTTTGTGTTATCTTTTTAACAAATCTTCCTCGCCTTAGCTTCCCAAAAAACAATTAGCGTTGCGTATACGTAATATTTTACGGGTAATTAACGTAACCCGAATAACTTCGCCTAAAACACTCATTAAGGCAAAACTTTAACAACTCCACGAACCCAAATAAGGACGCAAGCCCTGCGATGGAAAGACCATTAAAAAGCAGAAACCCCAGCGATTGCATAAGATTCCGGCGAAAGGAGCATGAAACACATGCATATAATACCTACTATATGGTAAAACGTGGTCGCCAAAATAAACTTTCACTCCCCAGAGTCCGAGGCCTGAACCCAAGTCCGAGTCTGAGTCCGATTCCTTAACTAACCAAAAACGGAACTAAAAGCGAGGCACCGAAAAAAGGGCCCCATCACCCATTTAAATGCAACATTCATGAATCAGAGAAAAAATGCTGAAAATATAAAAAATCACACAGGGAGGAACGAGATACACAGGGGGAAAACCCCACAAAGAGAAGAAAAGTGCATAAAATGCAGTTAAGAGGGAACTTTCAACGATACACGTGAAAACGTGTCTCGGTCTCTCCCTGCTTTTCTGTTTGCGTAAAAAACTTAAACACGTTTGCCACCTTCATGTAGGTTGGGGGGATTACAACATTTCAACGCTCAATTACCAAAGATGAAAGAAGACGCAACTTTGAGACAGAGACTCGGCTCTGTCTTCTCCTTCTTCTTCTTTTCCATCGCTCCACAAAGACAACACCGATATGCTATATAGTATGTGTGTATGCTGATCTTACGAAATACCCAAACGCACTCAAAAGTTTACCCAAGAAAAAGTACAGACACAGAAAACAAAGACTACGGCAACTTTTCATTTCCTTCCCAAAAATGAAAAAAAAAAAAGAAAAATGTTCGTGACCGTAGCCAACAAGACTTTGGATCTCTGATCATATGGACAGCAGGTAATGACAAAATACACACATACACGAAGCTTAGGGTTCATACTGAAGTACAGTTGCGGTTGCAAAAATAGGTGTGAAATTTGTTTTCACAAAACAACTTAATGTATTTGAAACGTTTTCTTTTTAAAAAAGTACTTCTTTTTTGTTTGAGCACATTTCAGTTTAAGTTAAACAAACGTTAACTATGAACATATAAATTAAAAAAAACATCAAAAACCATTCCCTAATAAGTATGCAGTACATTTTTAGAACTGGCCTAGGGTGGTGCTGTTTACTTCTACAAAAGTTTCTACTTTTGTAGCAAATAACACTAAAATTTACCTTACAAAAGAATTTAAATAAATATTAATACTAAAAGTGGAGTAAACCATATGTTTACGCTTAATATCACAAACAAATTAAAACCATCGTTAAAGATTTTAACCAATTTTGTACTATTTGAACTCCCGCCGTTGTGGTGTTTCACTCTCACTCTCGGTTTTGTTTGATTCATGCCAGCCGAAAACAGGTTTGGGTTTCGGTTTGGGTTTTCGGCTTGGGTTTTCGGCTGATAGCAACTGCGAGATACGAATGCGAGAGGAGACCTACTTCTGCATCAGCAACAGCACCTCAGCTTCCACTTCGCTACTCCATTTAAATGGCTCCGTGTAACCGTTGCCCAAATATGTCCGTCTATCTGTATGTATGTACGGCTGCCTGTATGTCTGTATGTATGCACCA